GAGGACACCAGACTCACTCTATTTCTAGGCCACGCCCAGAAGCTTCCTCTGAGGGCCACAGCCACAAAACGTGACCTAGAGAACATTCAGGGCATTGACAGCAAAAATGGATGAAGGAAACTGCTGGGTGATTGCCACTTCAGACCATGAAGTTTGAGATGTCCTACTAGGTTTCCAGGTCAAAATGTTGAATACAGAGTTGAATATTTGTGTCTGTTTTTCAGGAGAAATGTCTGGGGTTCAAATCTAAATACTTACGTGGTGTTTATTTCTGACCCAGACCTTGGTCTTGCTGTCCTGGGATGCTTCTCTCTTGCCTTTTTGGTTTTTCTTGTCCTCTCTCACCCTTCACTTCCCACAGTTCAGCCACAGAAAGGAGAAGGACCCAGGTGAGAGGCAGTGGGTTTAGGTGCAGGATGAGCAGGTCTCCTCATGCAGGGTCATGCCTGCTGCCCCTCCTCACCCAGGAAAGGCACTTCTGGGTAGGGGAAGAGGAAAGGTGGGGAGGGAGCATGTTGGAGACCAGCCCCAACTCTCGAGGTGTCAGGAGGTGAGAGAGGCGAGACAGGCGGCCCTAAGGTGGGAAGTCAGGGAGCAGCAGAGATTCCAAAAGGGGAGGGGGGAGTGGGTGCGAGGAAGACACAGGAGTCAGAGCTGGGTGCAAGTCTTCCTGCTCATTCCCTCAGCAGGTCTTTGTTTATACTGTGTAGCAAGTAGTTAACTGCAATAATGAATAGGGTAAGTTAATGAGAGATGGCCATAAAGTGTCATAAAAACGTTCTCAAGGACAAGGGGAACAAAGCATTTTTTCCTTAACATTTTATGGTATACTGGATTATATGTTTTTGTGATAATTGTCATGTGTACAGATGTTCAGTTGTAACTCAAGGGAAGAGGGGTCTGGATGAGCTTGTTAGCAAAAGGCTATTAGGGGTTTTTGGGAAGTAATAAATTGTTTTAGCAGTGTTATCAGTGATTGTCTAAAGAAAAGCTAATGACTAATTTAAGACTAGCAGAGAGTAGTTAGTGCTTGTTTTAAAAAGGAGTAAATTAAGAGAAAGTTGTACAGTTGTGTATTAAGCAACACCTGTGTAAACAAGGTTAAAAATTCTCCATGAGTCCTTATGCCCTGAAAGTCTTATCTGAGATTTGCTTTTTTATTTTAGAGAAACCAAGGAAGCTTCCCAGGAGTTTTTATGCACTGGGGTCTTATTTCTCCTGGGGCTTGCCTTCTGTCTCAGGAGACAGAGGAATTTCCCACCCTGGGGCAGCTTACCTGAATCAGGCAGCCACCTTATGAGGCTAAGGCAATCCAGTTGTAAACTGATGGTTCCTCAGAATATTTTGATATTATGATTATACAGAAAAGGGAGGTCGTAACATAAGTTAGCAGTGGAAATTCTGATTTTTCAGAGCTTTTCCTTTTCTATCTGGAATTTGACGATCGATAGAAGTTGCATAACTTGTGTCAGGAGCAGGGAGATCTACCTTGCTGCATAGGTCATGAAGACTTGATTTCCCTCCAGGCTCAGTTCTAGGTTTATCTCCCTCTTTACACCAAAAGCCAAGTTTGTGAGCTGTACACACAGAGGGTATCATGTCCCCTCTTCTGTGTAAATCCATAGAAAGAAGCAAGACAGTAAAAAAAATAGTTTGCATGACATAGCAGACATGACCTGAACCACCTCACAGAATTTTCTATCAATAAAAATCTGAATGTCTTATCTTTCTAGTAAAGAGTTTTTAGCATTTCCTTTTCTTTCTTTCCAACCCACCCCCCTTTCCCCCCAACCGGGAGTTTCAGTGTTCCCAGGAGTGCCTGTGAAGGAGACAGGATGAGTTAGAATGCTTTGGGAATAGCAAGTACAATTAAAACTGATTTAAACCATAACTGGATGTTTGTTATTGGCTCAGCAATAAAGCTCAGAGGCAGCACTGGCTTAATCAGACATGGGCTCCCCTGCTGTTCTCTTGTGGGTGCTGACTTGGTGGTCAGGACAGCTTCCCTCTTAATGCAGAGTGGTTGTGTCAGTTCCAAATCCCCCCCAGCATATACAGACAGGGAGTTCTCTTTTCCCAATTATGAGCAAATCCTCCTAGGTTTCAGTTTGGGCCAACGTCAGCCACCCTCAAAGAACCACTATGACTAAGGAATTGCCTCAAAGCAAGAAGGAAGGAATTATGAGTCAGCTCCAGTGGAGCTGACTGGAAGAGGTGAGATTTATATCAACCCTGTTCCCATGACCCTCCACCCCTCATCTGCCTGCAACATAACAAGGGGGATCACATGAATCCTGGAGCAGCAATCAATAATGCCAAATGTGTAGATGGAGAGAGCCCTACGCCTAACAGGACTTTGGACAGGAGTGAGGGCCCGCTCCGCAGTAACTGTGTGCATGTCAACCAGGGGCCAGAAGGCCTATCTGGGCATCTGCCGTAGTGACCAAGGACTGGCTTCCCTACCCATCTCCTTCCTGACACCTTGGTATTATTTACCTACTAGAACTTAGATACAGCTCTTAGAACAGCAGCTACTGAAATTAAGTTTGTACTGGTCAGCAGAGTGAGAACTTGAAGTACAAATTAAAATATAGAAAACAAGGTTGTGTTTCTTAACCATTAGCATTTAAGGACTGAGACAGACATGCTATACCAATTAGCACTCAGAATATTACACCTGAGAGATCAGGAAAATGACTCCCCCTTTTTTTCTTTAGTCAAATAGTTTCAAAAAAGTGAGTTAATGGTTCTAAAAATACCTTGCAGATCTTCTTATAGCTTAAGAAGCAGAAGAAAAAACATCTTCTTTATAGGTCAAGTGAGATATTATTGGGGAGCAAGTAGACTCATGACATCTTGTCTCTTGTCCAAATTTTATGATTTCATGTATGGGTCCTATTGATTGTTTTTACTTTCTAGTTCCTGAGCTGAATGATATGAAATATATTTAATTTAGGTCCTAGATAAAAGAGGGTCCATTCATGGGGATGAGGATGCCTCAGGGAGCAAAGCCATAACCAGTGCAGGAAAAATCAAGACCAGATTTTGAGCCTTCAGCTGTGCACAGAAAATTTTGTTGTGTTATATGGGTTTTGCGGGTCCAGTGACCATCAAAAATAAGCTTAGCCAAATTCCAAGCTATGGGTTGCAGTTTTCTGTGGACTAGGTAATACTGGTATCTTTCGTGCAACAAAGTCAAGGATTTAAAATTTGGAAAACAAGCAAGCTAAGCAAAACATGCTTTTATGTCCTGACATTTTCAATTATGAAGCTCATGGGTTGAGGGAAGATAGGGGAGCCAGAAGGTAGGAAGCCCCCTGATATTTTTTTTTTTTTAAGATTTATTTATTCATACAGAACTGGGGTACAGGCCAGAGGCTCAGGGGCGGTGAGAGGCTTCACCAGAGACAGAGTGGGGAGCAGAACAGGCAGATCGACGAAGTACACTGCTGAGGGGAGCAGCGGGCGGGTCAGGAGAGGTCTGGCTCGCCATGTGGTCTCCTCCGGGGCAGGCGGCAGGCGGGAATCGAACTCATGCGGAAGTGGCTTCAGATTCTCAGTGCTGTGCTTTAACCTGCTGCGCCACCAGGGAGGGCCCCCCCCTGATATTTTTATTTCTTCAGAGTGAGCAATGGGGTTACATATGGTGTCGATAAACTCTTTTCGTTTTTGCTTTTATGTGAAGCTCCTGACTCTTCTGTCTTGGATGCTTATCTTGCTGAGTTGGAAATCTTTTTAAGTATTTAAATGTCTTATATTTAAATTGTATTGAAAAATCTGCTGACAGTCTGACTGGTGTTCTCGAACAGGCTAGCTTTTTTTTCTCTTCATGTTTTTAGTATTTGCCCTTGCTGTTCGTTTTCAACAGCAACATTCATCTAATGTGTCTGCATGTGTGGTCCTCTGGAAACGTTTGTTTGCAACACTTTGGGCCTCTTACATCACCATGTCAGTTTGTTTCTCAGATTAAGATGTTTTTCAGTAATATTTCTTTAAATAAATTTTCTATGTCTTTGTCTTCTCTGTCATCTCTATGATATGGATGTTATTTCTCCTTAAGTTGTCTCAGAGGGGCTCTAATACTGTTTTCACTTTAAAATTCTCTTTTCTCTACATTGTTCTAATTGCGTGTCTTCCAGCATTTTCAAGCTCATTAATTCTCTCCATTCTTCTATTTATCTGCTCTTCAGGATCTCCATTGTATTTTTTAAATCAGCTATAGTGTTTCTTCATTCTATTATTTCAATTGTAGCTGCCTCACATTTGTTTTATCTGTATTCTGTTGTTTTATGGCTGCTGTTGTTCTTTTTGAGTCTTTTAGGCAAATTTGGGGAATGCTGCCTTTTCTTAAATGGCTGATAATTATTACATTTATTCATTATTTGTGTTGAGTGACCATCACACCTTGAGGAACCTCCCAGAACTTAAGATTCTGGCCTATAGCAGACCATGCAGGGGCTTCACTGGAGTTGCAGGCTGAGGACTTTCCTGGGGTCAGCTGGTAGGGAAGGACAAGAGGCTAGAACATCACTATTTCTTAATTGAGGGCTTTCCCCTTTCCATACTTCCTCCATGTTCTGTTAATCATGTTCAGCGCCTCAGGTCCAGCAGAAAGGTTGTTGAGAGTGAAGATCCAGACATAGAGAAAGGGAAACACAATGGAGAACATGCCAAGAAAGTCAAAGACCATTTTCACCGCTTTGGGGAAAGTGACACCATTGTGAATAATGGTCATGGACCTCGACGATTCCAGGCTGACCTGAGTTGCGCTGCACTGGGAAGACATGGCCACCTTTCCCAAGCTCGGTCTGCTCTGAGAGCCCCAATAGGACAGGTGCTAAGTCAGCCAGGGAGCTGCTACAGACATCATCTCCTGGCTCCGCCCCTGTCCCCACTCCCCCCCATGCTCTCGGGAAGAAGAGAAAACAGCCTTCGTAATGATCTCGATCTGTTGAAATCATTCTCCATTTATTTAGATCATGTTCAATTTCCCTCAGCAGTGTTTTGAAATTTTCAGGGTACAAGTTTATTTTTTTGTTAAAAGTATCCATTACATATGTTACCTTACAATATCGTGCTCAAACATGCAGGCCTTGCAAAAAACAAAACTTAAAGAGTTAATGCGGTTTTACTTTTGATTTTAACACTGAACATTAGAGATTTATCCGCAGAGTTACCACCTTCTTTCAACATGAGTCTGAAAAGATCATTTTCTTTTTGACAAGCTAGAAAGCATCCTTTGTACAATGAAGACTCAAATTGCACCTTATCATGATGTCCTGGAACAGCTCTCTGGAAGAATATCATGGCGCTTTGTTCATCACTAATATCTTGAGGAGGATTCATTTCCTGTAGAAAAAAAGTTACTTAATTTTTTTTAAAGGACGCAAGCAAATGGAATATGTGAGTTTATTCTGAAGTATATCATTGCACAGGACTAAAGCACTTTTCATTTGCAAGCATTAAGGGGAAAAAAAAAATCTCTGCATATAAGAATACTGAGCTCTCTCGCTTAGCTCTGATGGCCCTTTCTTCACTGACTTTTCCACTTGGAACGTATATTCAGGTTTGTAGCCTCTGTTGTCCCCCAATTTATCCTTCTCTTCTCCCCCACTGAGTTAGTCTGTATCTGCTAAGAATGAAGTAGACACAGAAAAGACCCCAGTCTTTTGGGGTTAATGTTAGTTCCTTTCTTCTCCAGCCACACAACCAAAGACACCCACCACTTCCACTTTATAGGAAGTGGTAGGAATCTCAGCTTCCTTCAGTGGAATCTAGAACTGACATGGGCCTAGTATTTGTTCTATGGCAAGATTCTAGGTTCTTGAATTGTCCTGCTATATAGGCTTACTCAGTCTTCACTCCAAGCACTCCATTTTTATAGTAGTCTTGAATGTCTATTCTGAAGGTAGTCTATTGATAGGCCCCTTCTCTGGAAGGTCAAGTGCTGATTCACAGCTTCAGTCACAAGCTAGGCCTTTCTGAGCAATAGCTAGATCACCTGAAACTCCAATCCTGTTAGTCAAGTAACGACAGTATCGTTTGGACACTGTCTATTGCTGTTTATACCTACTTTTCAGGATGGAAATGGGAGGACTACCCAGGATTCTTCCCATGTTAATTCTGGAACCAGTAGACATTTAAACTTAATTTTGACCTCAAGATTCCCATGATGTTAACAAAAACTGAGAAATCTTCATATCCAAAATAGCAGTCCAGCACCTTCTTAAGATGCCTGACATGATCTGGGGGGTATCTTCAAATTTCTCAATAAGTTATAGAATTTATAGTTACAGAATTTATAGTCACAGCTCTTGATTTTTGTCAGTTATCAACAGGCGTGAGTTGATAAAAGTTTAAACTAGACACCTCCGCCCTCACTACCACATTAGTGACTTCTTGTCTACAGGGTATCAGGATTTGGGCAGAGACCCTAAGCTAGGGGAGTCAGTTTTGAGACTGAGCTGAAGTCTAAAATATAAGTGGGAAATACTACTTAGGCAAAACTTCAAAAGGTCTTGAAATATTGGAAAGAGATCTATAAACCAGTTCAAACAGCATGGAAACTTAAGCTGAAGATAGGGATGTAGCTAGATAGAACAGGTAATCATAGCTCCACCTTCCATTGTTGAAATCCTTGTTGGCTTTGGTATTGACTAGTCACAGCCACCATAACGGAGGATAAAAATGAACAATTCTTGCGACCCTGGAGAACCCACAACTTGGAAAACTCTCTCTGGTGAAACTTCAGTGCTCATAGGGGATCTCCAAATTGCAGGGTGAAGCACTTTGGTTGGAAAGAAGGGATGGCTAAGGAGTTTATCTGGAGGCATGCACTGATCTTACTGGGATTCAGGGCGGCTTTTTTTCTTCCTTTTCAATTGTCCCTTCACATGTCCACTAAGGTTCACTAAGTTAGTTACTACCTGTCAGTGGGCACTGGATGGCCTTGACACTTCTCTTTATTGGCAAACCTCCACTCAGGAAGTCTTCATGCAAAGGGATTTACCTTTAAAGCACTATCAATGGGGGCCCTCCTTGGTGGTGCAGCGGGTTAAAGCACAGCACTAGGAGGCTGAGGCCACTTCCTCATGAGTTCAATCCCTGCCTGCCCCAGAAGTGATCCACATGGCGTGTCAGACCTCTCCTGACCTGCCTGTTGCTCCCCTCAGCAGTGTGCTTCGTCAATCTGCCTGTTCTGCTCCCCACTCTGTCTCCGGTGAATCCTCTCACTGCCCCTGCACTTCTATCCTGCACCCCAGTTCTGTATGCATAGATAAATAAATCTTAAAAAAAAAACAAAAAACACTATCAATTGGTGAGAATCCCTTGGCTGCTTTGATTAGGAGGAAAGTTTTCTAGGTCAATCTGTAATTATAATTAGTGGTTCTTTAATAATAAAGGAGACAACAGAGAAAAATAATAATGGAGAAAGAAATGGAGACTTGGGGGGAAAAAGACAAAACCATGACTATAAATAATGATGTGTGGCTTTAAGATACACTCTGTTATTGCTTTTTCAGATAGTGTTGTTAATTTTATTCACTTAGATTGACATTAAAAATAGTATTCATCAGTGCCCTCCCTGGTGGTGCAACAGGTTAAAGTGCAGCACTGCAAGCGAGCCTCAGCCTCTTCAGTGCAGGTTCAACCCCTGCCCCGGAGGTGACCCACATGGCGCGACAGACCTCTCCTGACCCGCCCGCAGCTCCCCTCAGCAGTGCACTTCATCAGTCTACCTGTCCTGCTTCCCACTCTGTCTCTGGTGAATTCTCTCACCTCCCCTACACCTCTCGCCTGTACCCCAGTTCTGTATACATAAATAAGTATTTAAAAAAATAGTATGCATCATTGGAAAGCTGAATGATATAGCTTAGGTTCATGCAAGGTAGCAGGAGCACAGTTATAGATAAAATATAATCACAATTTAACAAGTTGAGGGTTTCAAGGACGATTGGCTTCCTTCTATGTAGCAGGACTTGTGCAGTGCTTAGCTATGGTACTTCACATGTGTTCTACATTATTATTTATCTATAGGTTGATTCATTAGAAGACACAGTTATTCTTCTTTCTCCCTATAGTAGAGTCAGGAAAACCATGATATTGCTATAGTAGGTTAAAAAGTTTGACAGTTTTTGAAAACTATCCATTTCAGTGGTTCTCTGCTTCTTGATATTCATGCCCTAGACAAAAGGTTGAACTGGGAATATATGAGTTTTCTAACTTTGCAGATAAACAAATTAGGGCTCAATCTTACCTTAAAGGTAGCTTTTCCCCTCTCTGTACAGAAGAGAGTAAACATTTTCTTATACTTCACAGAGATGGCTGTCGCCATACCTCTGGTGAAGCTGTCCTTGTATACACACATTATAAACTTGGTCTGGTCTTCATTTTCTGAAATAAACATTCATAAGGAAGAACGCTAGTTAAAAGATTTTTTTTTTTGGCAATTTAACTATTACAGAAATTACCAAAGGGGTAGTTTTTAATAGGTCTATCACGAATCTTCTGCACTATACACACACACACACACACAGATTTCTGCTAGTCAGCAGGAGACCATGCACACCAGATTACACATTCTTTCAAATACATTCAAGTGGGAGTGTGTTTTATAATACAAATGCAACAACTTTTTGAATATATATATTTTTTATTTTAAAGATTTATTTATTTATGCATACAGAACTGGGGTACAAGCTAGAGGTGCAGGGGTGGTGATAGGATTCACCAGAGACAGAGTGGGGAGCAGGACAGGCAGATCAACAAGGGGAGCAGCAGGCGGGTCAGGAGAAGTCTGCTGTGCCATGTGGGTCACCTCCGGGGTGGGGATCGAACTCGCATTGAAGTGGCTGCAGCTCACTTGCAGTGCTGCACTCTAACGTGTGCCACCAACAATATTTTGAATATTTTAGAGATACTCAAAATTCTAAGAGATAGCCTTTAACTTTTAAATGCTAAGTAAATTAAAAAATTTGTTTTAACTTAGTATTTTTTTCAATGGCATACATTCATTGTTTCAATTTTGTCTGAATTTATATATTTGGGATTCATATCTTGGAAGGCACCATGAACTTACTTATTTTCTAGGGCACTTGTGGTGGAAAAGAGACTCAATTGAAATACTTGTATATTTATTATTAGCTGTCCGGGATTAAGAATCCAACAGAGAGCTTATGTAGTTCGTGCAATTACAGTGAAGGGTTTGGTGATACAAATGTAGCCTCAGACTGCTGTGACCTCAGCAATATCCTTGTCAATTTTTACCCCAACTAAAAAATATGGCAAACCTACAAAGTTTCTTTATAAGTAAAATTGTTATTATTCCTATGACTTTATCACAGGAATGATGAAGTCTCATGGTCAAGTTGATTAAAGAAAAAGGTAGGCAATAAATGGGATGGAAAGCAGCTTGCTAGTTTCATGTTTGTAGACATACGTATATGAATATATGCACGCATGGAGGGAGGGAGGTAAGGAAAGAGAGAAAGAGGTGGGGAGAAAGAAAGGGAGAGAAATACCTTCACATTCATAATCAGTCATGTCTTCAAACACAGCCTGACATCTGTTGTCAAAGAAGAGAACTTGGTTGTCCACATCGCGAATGACTGAGACTCTAGATTCAAGCTTGCGGAAGTAATCTGATTCCAGGTTTTCTACAATGCACAATAAATAATAATTTATTTCTAAAATCACAAATAGGAAATCTATATGGTTTTCAAAAACTATTAATCACTCTCCTCTCTTCCAGTGGCATCCTCTGTATCTTGTTATCACCTCTGGAAACTTGCATTCAAATATACTTCTTTCTGACCACAATTTTCATTGTTTTAGTTTTCTTAAGCTTTTACTCTATTTCAGAGTCCTCCAGCCTCCTCATTTGTGCATTTCCTCCCTACCTGAATTTTTCTGTTTTCTGTTCCTTGCCTATACAGTCTAACATTTTGTTGACCCTTTGTCTCTATCTTGAATCTCTGACTCACCTTTCCTTCCAAATCAGGCTGCTGAGTATAAACAGGTACAGAAATGTGCAAATCGATGTTACTCCACATACATCAATTCTCAAAATGATCTCCTTTCTCTCTTTTCCATTGTGCATATCTTCTCCATCAATTGTACCCCATCCCTCTAGCCAGCCTCCAGCCTCTTCGCCTTTCAACAGCCAGGCTTCTGGAAAGTATCATTTCCTTACTTTCTATCCACCCCTCTACTCATTGCCTCCATCTCCATTTTTCCATCAAATTACTTTCACTGAGATAACTGAATTCCTGGTTGCTAATTGCAATAGATATTTTCCAGCTCTTAATTTTCAAGGCTACAAAATTCAACAGTACCTATTACTTCCATTGTGAAGTACTCTTCTGGGATTGTGTGACACTTTCTTGGTTCTTCTTTTCCTCTTAGGTTATTCTGTTTCTTTTCTTTATCAGCTTTTCCTTCTATTGCATTTTTAAATGTAGATCAGTCCTTGGCTTTTATGTTCTCACTCTGCATACCTCCTCTGATTTATCTTTTTTTATTTCTACAGTTTCTGATGCCATTTCTATCTACAAGCCTCCTATATGTACATCTGCAACCCAAATTTTTACTCTGAGCTCAGAATCATATATTTGAGTCTTCTGGACAGTTCTACAAGGATGTCCCACAGATAAAATCCAAAACTAAATTTATCATCTATCTTCATCTTTGTGTTGTACCTTTTTATTCTTCTTCTTGTGTTTCCCATTTCATGTAGGCAATGAAACTATCTGTGTGAAAAAACACTACCTATTTCTCTCTCTCTCTTTCTAAATCCAACGCCAGCCATGTCCTGCTGATTCTTCCAAGTATTTCTAAAACCCCATTCACAGCTCTTCATCAGCACCGCACTGTGTCTAGTTTAGTTCATGTTATCACAGCGACTACAACAGTTGACTAGTAATTGGACCTGCCCCTTTCTGTCCCCACATCTGTTCTTTTTACTGAAGTCAGAGGAATCAAAATTCGATTTTAGTTAAAACTGAAATTCAGAGATACGATTATATTGCCTCTGAATTTGAATGAGGCACATGGTCACACAGAATAAAGATCTATCTGCCAGATTTCCTTGCAGTTGGTGTGGCCACATGACTAGAATTGATGTGTACACATTCTAAGGGAGCAGGCCTGTCTTCCTCTCCTTTCGAATTCTTTCTTGATAGCTGGGATGCGGACCCAGGAAGTGCAATGATGATGTGTGAGTGTGAGAATGAGTTCAACAACTAGGGAAAGATGGAGTAACAAGAGAGTGGGAATAAGAGATTCCAGCGTCATCAGGCTGCACCCAGCTAAGCTAACTCTGAACTGCCTTCGTGAATGTTTGTTTGAATGAAATATTTATGATTTTATACAGTAAGTATAGTTTCAGATTTCCATGTGGCAGCAAACAAATCTCTATCCTAATTACACACATTGTGTTTAATGAATCACTGTTACCCCCAAAATAAGTTTCAAATTCCATTTGAATTTGATTCTTGGAATAAGAAACCCTTCTTGAGCTATACCCTATTTATTTATCATTCTGCTCTCACTGTTCACCTGTTCCCACTCTAATTCTGTTCTGCCTTGCTTTCTTTCACATCTTGGTCTTTGGATGTGATCCTCTGTTCAGATACCTTCTCATGGCTAACTCCTATTGACTCTTCAAATCTGTTCCTTCTTCAAAGTGCCTCCCCATAATCTACTGCACCAATTGTATAGATGCCAACTTTTACTGAATTAAATATGTGGAGAGTAGAGCAAACTTTAAGAAACACTGAATGGTAAGTGAATTATATCTCAAAGCTAGGGGTGGAAGAAACATGAAGGGACATTGTTTTTTCAAAAAGTTGCTGTTTTCTATTTCTAGTCCAGTCAGTATCACCTTGAGAATGAGGAAGAGCTGCCTTTCAAGGAAAAGTATGAAAAACTAATGACACAGAGTCTGAGGGTCTGTTAGATGAGAATTGGTTAGATATGCATATGATCCTCCCTGATGCCAGAAAGGCAAGTTCTCGTAAGAGTGATTCACTCTTATAGTTCTGCTTGCTCCTTCCCTATTTTCTCTACTGTCAGAATTTTCTGACTCCTGGGAGTCTCCTACGCTTCTTTCTGATGCATTTCTGAGAGAGATTTGGAGAAGATATATATTCTTAATTTTGGACAAGTCTGCTGCTTCTACCCCTTTGTTCTCTATAAGTGAGAAGATCCATACCATTCTGCTAATCTGAGGATCTATATAACAGGAGAGGTCTATTTTGCAGATTCTAAGAACTGGAGAATTTTTTAAGGTTTAGAGATTCATACTTTGTTAGAGGCTCTTCTTTATATCCCTTTATGATCATCTTTCTCCCAAGGCTGTGCTATCGAGTCCACATGCTTTTGAGGGAAGAAGAACTTCCCAAATAGATTGGCAGCCATTTCTCTCCACTAAGAATGGTGACATGATGTATGGGATGCTTACTCAGAAAGCTATTTACTTTGCAAAGAATGAGAAACGTTTATACTTTACCATCATTTTCAGCTAAAGGGGGAAAAAAGAGAGAGAAATTATGGTAAGTTTTAAACTCAGAATCTCAACTCACCTTAGTCTTTCATTACTCTTTTCTGCCACTCCCCAGTCTTTAACTCCTATCTTACCAGTGATGGCCGTTGCTGGCCTCTAACAGAAATATTATATCATCATCCAAAAGGTCTCATAAAATGTTCATTAGATTTGGCATGGGAAGATAGATATAAACCCAAATTCAGCATTTATAAATTAAATTTGTAGCTAAAAATAAATACAAAATGATGGATTTTACGCTAAAATTTCCTGCATTAAGGGAAAGTCACCTAAGGTCTTTAATGAAACTTCCAAAACAAATCAAACTTTCAAACAAAATCAAACTACCCACAGGAGATTAATCATAAGCATTTATTTTTATTTGTCAAATATATTTACATAAAATGGTGTGACTCACAGAACTCTAGATTTATAGTATCTCTTACATAGCTGCCAAGTTGTTTTGGGAAACTGTATTCCCTAAACACACCCAGTTTTGTGGGGTCCTGTATGTGTCTGCAGCCACCTGCTACTACTAATAAAGGGTCATGACATGCCATGGGACAAGATTCTGGGGCTTTGACTATATTATGGCTAATTTCTCAAAGTCCAATAATTTTTCTGCGAAGAACATCACTAGTATTACACTGGAATTTTGTGACAATAAGGAGTCACTTAAAAGTTTGCATCACAATACTTTTTTAATTGAATATATTTATCTGAACCCTGATTTTGGCCTATTGCCTTATACTTACCTTCAAAATAAAGAGTATTGTTAATAAATTTCATTTTCACAAAGTTGATGCAGTTGTCGTCTAGTACTTCAGCAGACATCTTTACCCCTAGTGGAAGCAACGAATCATCTGCTAAGAGGTTATGATTGTTCTTTTTGCTCAAAAGGAATCTTTTACTACTTACTGCCTTGTACTGTCTCCAAATTCAGAAGGCAATATCAGCCCATAATTTGATGAAAACTCTGATGCTGGGAGTCTTGACCTTAAGAATATGGATTTACAAACATTCTTTTGGAAAACACTAGATATTTGAAATCTGGAAAGCATTTTCTAATTGAACGATATGCTAAAGGGTGGATAAGGGTCCACTATTGAATGGAATGATTGTTCTAGTAATTTTTTTTAGCAAATATAAATATTTTATCAATTTAATGAAAGGATACCAGCAATACATCTAATTCTATCCTTCACTGAGACTGGCTCTATCTTACAGCCAATGGATATCTGTGCGTGAGAAGCTGAGTGTTTGTGCCTTCACTGTCTAAGTGCTAAGGGTGAGGCAGTGATAAAAAATGGTGTTTCCGCCTGGGAGTGGGGGCAGGGTGGAAGGAGGCTGAAAGGGCCCTGGCATCTCAGGGCCGCCTTTCTCCCAGGGCAGCAGCAGTTTTTGACCTGGAGTCTGGACTGTACTGTGCCTTTTACAAAAGTCATAGATAAATACAAGCATTGATACAAAAAGCCAAATATTTGAAATTTTGAAAATATTAGAAACTCTTCTTTCTGTTTTTCTCTGTCCTACCTTACTTTAATACGGTGTGTTCCCCTCCAGATTTTTGTCTATGGAGCAAGAGTTCTAAATTTGGGAAAACTGTGAACTTAGGTGGGAAAATTATATATTTTTTTTCCACCAACTTGTGGAAATTCAGCTGCTTCTTCCATTAGGATGTGGGAAGAAAACCACAGATCTCAGTAGTACCTGTGACAGTCACTGATGGAAATTCTTATTTCTTGTGGGTGGTCATTGCTGCAAAGATCTTGAAATATGGTTTAAATTCACTAGTACTTTGCAACAGATGCAAGCTATATATTGTATAGCTTGTAGATCTTGTTAATTAGTCTTGTTACTGGTTAATTAATGTTAATAAAGAAATGCAAACTATATTGAAATTAGTTAAAAGGATTTTTTTCATAACCCTATTTTAATATAATGGTTTCCTTTATTCTGAAGTATTTAGTTTTACACATTAAAACATTACTCTCAGAAGGCATCCATGGACTTCACCAGACTGTCCACGCCACAGAAATAATTAAAAGCCCTTCTTTAGAATCTAAAAGTACTTGGGGTTCCCATTCAATTTTTTTCAAGCAATTTTTTCAAGAGTTTAAACATACATGGTAGAGGAAGCATGAAATTAAAGTCCAGTTGAAAAAACTTAATCCAAATTAAGCTAACCCAAAATATTTGTTAGTTGGCAGCTATTTTAGCAGTTTTATTTCTAGATTCATTTCTTTACACATATCCAAGTGTGGATAGTTACTGAATTTATGAGATATGATCTGTATCAATTGGTAAAATAATGGCTATAGTAGTCTTGTCTATAACCTTTATCATGATGAAGTGCATACATAGTTTGAAATTAATTCACCCCCAAAGTACGTAGTAGTCAGAAAATTAGCTGAAATTCGTAGTGTTCATCACAGTGAGCGTTAGGTGGTCAGTGAGTCAGCAGATTTAGAGAAGTACACAGTTACATTAAAAACATAAACAGTCTGCTGAACCCACTGACGCCGCTGCAACTCTGGCCTACAACCCAGTTTTTCTATAAATAAGTAAATTCTTAAAAAAAAAGACAGTCTTTGAATTCAATCATCCATGAATTATTCACCGAGTATCAGGTATGGAGCTAGAAGTTGACTAATCACACAGGAATGAGACTTGACCCCTTTCACCCATCAGTGGGAATGCAGTGGGAGAGCACAAAACAGTGTCCCGGTGGTGTAAGAGCCAGTGCACAAGAGATCCTCTCTGTGTCAGGCAGAGTTGGAGAAGCTCCTCCCAGGATGTGCTGCTTTGACAGAGAGGCAGGCATTTTCAAAACGGGGGTTGGGGTGGGGTGGGGAGCCCTCCACAAAGAGAGCACAGAGTGAGTAAATGCCAGGAAGCAGGGAGACCATGGCTTTTTGGGAAGCCTTATCATTTTCCACCGTAATTAATGCAAATGAAGTCACATTGTGTAGGAAGAAGGCACTTGTGATCTCACATAATTCAAGATTCAATTTTCCTAGGGAATAAATATAAGTGATGTGCGGAGATACCCTTGGAGTACATAAATCTACAGCAATCAAAATGTATTCCTACTTTTTTTTTTTTAGCTTTCTCAACATTATTACTAATGCTTTGCAAAGTGCTTTCCATAAACGGCATATCATGGTCATGTTTTGACTATTTTGTTATTGTTTTCTTGCATCTAATTTTTCTCAAGTGATTTTTGGAGATTTTTGCAACACAAGCAGTAATAATACTCCTTAGCACTTTGTTAACATTGTCATCAGATATAAAAGTACTTAAAATTATAATAGTAGCGAATGTTTAAAAAAAAACCCACAATAGTCTGTATGTCTCAAGAGCTTCTGACATATTTATAGAAGAGCCCAGCTTACATAATAGTTTCCAGGTTAAGAGACACTTCTATGTGGCAATAGTGTTGACAGCTCATAACTCACTTGGCTTACCAGCTTTTAAATTATGTCATTATAGGTGAATTATTTAATTTGGAGATCACATATTTCCATTTTGTCAATAAGGTGAGAACATTACTTTTATCCTGCCTATTTTATTTCACATAAAATGCAACTTATGTTATAGTTCAGCTTGACAGAAATCTTCTCAGAGACCTGCTTAAAAATAAAGCAGAGAGTTTAAATCTGTTCTGAAAAAACTCTTGACATTTTAAGTAGGAGAAAGACATGGTCAAATTTGTTTTCAAAAGCTCACTCTGGTAGAATGTACAGAATGGGTTTCATGGAACAAGATCGGAGAGAGGCCAAAAGACAATTTTGGAAGCATTTTAGCAGTTAATGTAAAAACTAAGCAGGCCGTTGACCGAAGCAGTGGCTATGGGAGTGATGCAGCTCTAAACTGTGGCTGTGTGCAAAAGGGGAGACCGATGGATTCCAGAGAGAGTAAACAGCAGGGGTTTTGAGTTGATTGGTTGTGGGTTACATAGAAGAAGGAATAATTGAGGATGATTTCAAAGTTTCTGACTTGGGTAAGTTGTCCAGTGACTAACCCTCGTTAACTAAGAACTATGTTATAAGTAACTAAGTAACTTCATTCACTAAGAAAATAGATAATGAAAGATAGGCTGGAGTGGACAACTGCAGTTTTTCAAGTGTAAGACGGAAGTCCTAGAGATCCTTTCTCCAGAAGGGAGAAAGGAGTTTCAAGAAGTGGCTACATGAGATCGGAAGTTGTAGAGCCCACAATTTAGACACAAGCTTCAACTTGTTTGCTGTTTTTGGTCGTTGGGAAGGCTTTCATTTGTTTTTGTTTTTTCCTTTGGTTATTGTGAAGTTTTGGCATGGTAGAAATTTGAGGAAAGTGGAGGTAGCAGAGGATAGGCTGACAATGACCCAGAACAGAGGGAGTGGTGGTGGTGGGGCAACAGATAGGACAGAATTCAAGCTGTTCTTTCCGAGAGTTTGGCCATAAAGTGAAGAGATCGGGTGGTAGCTACTGGGGGAAAGTAACTTGCAAATTTCAACTTCCAGTTCCAAATCCCCAGGTCCAGCTGTAAAATACTAAATTACTTTCCCAAAATACTTCCAAATAATCAATCCAAAATTGAGACCTTGATGTTCTTCTTGACCCCTCCCCCATCTCATAGTAGGTTATGTCAGAAATCTCCCTAGAATTTGGTGTCTCCACCAATGTAGTTTTAAATCAAATCACCATCACTTGGATTGTCTTGGACTAGTCTCCAGTGTGGTTTTGTTGCCTACTGACATCCCTAAACTCCATACTGTTTCCATTTATTCCCCTGCAGGCCTGGACTTTCCCTGCATTTGGTTTTTTCTGCCAATTCCCCTTTGATTCTTTGAGTCTCAAAAATCTCCTCTAGGAAAACTTCCCTGACACCTCACTTTCTAGGCATTTTCTCTTCAGTGTCCCATTCATACTACCGAAATAGTTCTTACTACCCTGGCTTCATATTACTTTGATTACGATAGGTTGGTCCAGCTTCAGTTTGAGTTTTTTTTTTTTTTTTAAAGACTTCAACATCTGGAAAGAGGTTATATACAATAGGAGTTCAATCCATATCACAGGAATAATTTTTGATATGATAAACATTGTTGCCACAGTAGTGTGAAGAGAGACTGGTAGAATTTTTCTTTCTGCTTTAAAATTTTCATTTCATCTGAAAGCTGGTGAGGAAGAGAAAGGAAATGAGGAAAACTGAAAACAAATGAAAAAAATAGAATAATTTCTTTAATGTTCTTCCCTTTATTTTCTGGTAGTTTTTTTTTTTTAATTTCATGTCTTTATTTTGACTTCATGTTTTAATTTTTCTCCCTCTGTGATTACAGCCATTGTGTCTCCTTTCCCCTTCCCCCCCATTTTTCCTCTGCTTCTTTTTCATTTGTGCTCCTTTGATTTTTTTTTTTTAACTCTGATTTATGGAATTTATTCCATTTAGGAAGCACAGATTATTGACTTTTTACAAAGGAATGAAACAACTATTTGAAAAAGATCTTCCTAGGAGTATGCAGTGACAATTCATTTTTTGAAACAAAAGAAAGTTTAGTTATGGCAGCCTTGACAACTAATCAGAACTAATCATTAAATGATGATGTAAATCAGGTCAAGTCACTTAATTCCCAGTGTCAGTTTCCTCATTTGGACAATGAAGAAGCTCTTAAGGTCTTCCTAGCTCCAGCATTCTGTAACTAAGTATTAAAGTGAAGGTTGTAAGAATGGTCTACCCATCCACATGTGGTATGCCTGCGTAACCACTTCCTCATAATTCTAAGATAACACATATTGATTGAATATTCATTATATAAGCAGCACTGTTAAGCTATTAGCTTAAAAATACTAATACATTAAAAGTAAAAATATCTTGAACTTGAAAAGCAGCTATAATTAGGTTTAGCTTTTCTGTGGCATTCCAATTCTGCAGAATAGTTTTGGAATGAAGTAAGGAAGCATATTACCTAACTCCCTAAAATCAGGTGATCATCTTAAAAGCATCAGTATCAAAATCTAACTTTTCAGTTCTAAAAATCATTGTTTTTTTGTTCTTGAAAATTTTGCCATCTTTTATGTGTATGTGTGGGGAAGTGGCAAAGGTGGGGGGGTGGAAGAGAACTTAAAATTATTTAACCGGGCCCTCCCTGGTGGCGCAGCGGGTTAAGGCACCGCACTAAGAAGCTGAAATCACTTCCGCATGAGTTTGATCCCCACCTGCCCCGGAGGTGACCTCTCCTGACCCGCCCGCTGCTCCCCTCAGCAGTGTACTTTGGTGATCTGCCTGTTCTGCTCCCCACTCTGTTCCTGGTGAATCCTCTCATCCTCCGCATCTCTGGCTTGTATCCCAGTTCTGTATGAATAAATAAATAAATCTTTAAAAAAAATTATTTAACCAACCACTAACTATAGACGTAAAGCAAAAAAAAATCCAAAAATGAGATTTAAGTGTTTGGAATTGCTTTATGTGAAAAGAGAATTCAATGTAATCTTAAAGAATTCTGAAGATTTGAATAGATGAGAAGGTCATGGAAGATCATTTATGTGGTAATTATAATAATTTTGTGGAATCATTTTATGAATATAGTGGAAGAGTCCTGATGTTCTCCAGGGAACATGAGATAAGGTGGGCTTAGTATATGGCAGGCTTTTGAAGTTAGAAGAGTTTGAATCTTACAGGCAATTGGAAAACCCTTTGGATATTCACTGTGTGTATTTTCACAAGCTATGAATTTACTATATGAAATTACTAAATGGGTTACTAAATGAAACTGAGAATTCATGTAAGAAGTCATATTATTTATGTAGGGATATTATGAACAATTAGATTAAGAAAATATATTTTGAAGGAAGATTTAATAGACTTTGAAATAGCTGGATATATATATGAAAAGAGGGGTTTAAGAGTGTCCTAATTTTGTTAGTCATACTCCCAGATATTTATTCAGTCCTTTCCTTTTCGTGAGATAAAATTCTTGTGAAGCCTATAGTTGTTAGCAATTATAACCCAACCTGAGGGTGCAGATGCAGTTTATGCAGTTTCTATAAAGATCATCACTCTTTGGTAGTTTTTTGGTTCACATTTTAATTAAAGAGGCCCTTAAAAGAAGCTTATTTATTATTGCAAAGAAGCGAGAATTGAGGGGTTCATGTGGTTCAAAGCTACTTTTATAATTTTAATAATTATAAATAGTCATATAAAATAGACACAATGCATGTAATCATTATTGGTTTTAACTCTTATTCTCTCGCTAGTGTACAGTAATGTACTACAGACTCCATTCTGTGTGGTATTGCAGAGGCTGGCACAGAAGTTAATGAGAATATGTCTCGGGTCAGACATAAAAGAGATCTGTAAAAATCAAAACCTATGACATTCTTCGCTGTAAATGTTTTGGAAATACATAGTTGTATAAAGGCAAAAATTTCTATGCCAATATGTGATGTGTTCATCATTATTTTAAAATAAACTAATAGATCATTATCTTTAAAACATTCTCATTTTTAATTATAAATACAGTAAATAACCCAGAGAAGCAAAAACTTTTCAGGGTCCTCAATAGTTTTTAAGAGGGTCAAAAAGTCATGAGACCAAAAAGTTGAGAACATCTGCTCTAAAATAATAATCTCCAGTGTGGCTACAAGAGAATTTCTATCCTGACTTTGCAAGGTTCCTTTTTTTTTTTTTTTTTTGCTGAGTCCCTTTACTGACTGCCCATCATCGTGATGTCAGAGAGGACTTAAATTTCTCCCTGTCGCTTTTCTAGTTTATTTATCTCTAGTGACCATGCCTGGGTTTCTAAAGAGAGGAATAATCTTTCTTACCGTGCTCAATACGAGAGGAAGCGACCCGAGGAGTGTGAGCTGTCTTTCCTGTTCTTGATGCTGTACCGACCTAGGAAGGTGGCAAACTCTGAGGCCGCTGGAGCAGGAATGCATTGGCGAACAGAACGCATCGCTTAAGTGGCATCCAGAGAGGAAGCAAACGAGAGGGCGGAGACTGCCGGCAGCCTCAGCCCGCCTGCAAACCTGAAAACGTGGGCTTTTTTTTTTTTTTTTTAGAGCAGTAAAACTTGAAATAAGTGTCAGGGAATACGAGTGTATCTTTTAATGTCTAAATCACTAGTTGAATGATGTTAGATCTTTTGAAGTTGGAGTTCTGGCTCTTCAAAGCTATTACCTCTTTCAGAAGTTACTTTTAGGCATGAGACTTTCTACTCACACTTCAGCACAAAACTTTTTTCTTCCTATCTAACAATGCGAAATAATTAGTCCTATTAGAGGAATTTCTGTAATGTAACCAGAGCACCTAAAATGCAACTTTGAAAAAGCAGAGTAAAAACGTCACAGTCCTAAAAATCATTAGCAAAAATTTTCTTAAGACAATTTTTTCTTAAACACGTTTTAAATTGTATCACCTTGCTAGCAAGCGGATTAGCAAGGTGACTTGCTTTTGTGTTTCCCTTTTGCCACAGGAAACAGTATGAAAAAAAGAGGCAAGAAACAAAATGTTTACTTTTTTTTTCATTTTTCATATATTTTTAAAATAATATTTTATTTTTACATCATTTTGTGCCTTTTCCCATCTCAGTTGTAATCCCCATGGGCTTTCCATCACCAAATCACCCGTGTGCCATCACGGTCCAGTGTACTTCCCCCCCAACCCCCCATTTTTGATCCCATAAAATGTCTCTGGTATATAGTTGTTCATTATATTACTACTTTCCCCTCTGGTCCTTTACTTTACCTTTTCTTTATGGCTTATTTCCCTAAGCATTATCCCTTTCAGTTCCATCCATGTTGCTGCAAAAGGCATGTGCTTATCTTTTTTGATTGCAAAATGTTTACTTTTACTGCTTGGGTTTTTGGTTTTGTTTAACAAGATAGGGCTTTCACTTTATAAGCTCATACAAACATCTTGTCGCAGCACTGATTACAAAGATAGTCTGTGGCAGGATGGCAGGGAGGTGTGGTGCTTTACCAGAAGAAGGGAAAATAGCACCTTAAAGCGGTTTATGACATGTTTGAAACTGATGTAGCAAGTTTTGATCCTCCAGCTACAGCGTTCAATTGAAAACATGGACTCAAAGGCTGATCTGAGGCAGCACACCCAAAAAGTTAATTTGAAAAGGTTCATTGTCAAATTTTTCCCCCTTCATCTGCAAATAGGTAGAATGTATAGTTCACCCGCTCTTAGTTTTGAAGCATTTACTTTTTTCCTTGTCCTGTTCTTTTCCTTATCTCCAAGCCTGCCTACTTCTTGGAGTAGTTTTTGAAAGCAAGACGAGGTGATGACAGACCTTTGGATATTTTAAAGCACTTCACAACTCTAATCCTCCATGCTCTTGCACTTTTTACTTGCTGAGTTTGTAGGATGGAGATAAGATTTTAAAAGTCAAACAAATGTCATTGGTGGTCTCAATCTGATATATTAGGGGGATTTAGTTTCATAGAAATATTTTAAATACTAGGTAAGTGTTCACCTATTATACAATGCTGGGAGAGGAATTAGAAAAGTATTTCCCAGACTCTTGGATTTAAGGGCTGTCAAAAAATGATGATGACGATGATGAAGAGATAAACATTAGGTGGATAACTTTATATTTAACCAAGTAGGGGCAATGATAATCTAAAAATCTTTGTTTCATTTCATGGAAATTTTAAGCCAAGAAGTCGGGAGGAACACAATTTCATGACAAAACACAACTCTCTGCCTTTATGAAAAAAGCATTCTTTTTCCTCATTTTTTTCCCCTCATTTTTGCAGAAAGGAGGAAGATTTCATCACAGACTGCGATCAGATCTCAGTGATTAGGTTCCTTTAAAGACTGTCAATTATTGCATCACAAGCACCTAGTTTTATTAAGTGACTCCATTTCACAATATTAGCGAATCAACTTAAACTAGGTGCTGATTTTCTAGGCACTAATTTAAAAAGCAGTCGACATTTTTCACAGCCAATAAACACAAGCAACTTATCATTTAACAATGTGAAAAATAGTAATATTTACATGTTAAATATAATTTGCTAAGTTGTAAGACTGTGTACTTGAATTTATGGAGGGATGTTATTGACCTTTGTTTTATGAGGTGATATGCCTTTTATCTTCCCCCATCGATTAACTGGGCATACCTTTAGAATGTCAGTCTTTGCAACTGCAGGTCAAAGTCGCGAGGTTAGAGCACTCAGTGACACTCAACACATGTTTGTGAACATAGACGCTGCCCTGTAAGTCATCTAAACTTAAGAATTTTCTAGAAGGGCATGATTCCGAAAGTCTGCAACAATGGAAAGGAGGTGAATGAAAAGCTCTGGATTTGGAAGGCCCGCTTCCGGCAGGGGGAAATGAGGTTTAAACTTTTCCTTTAAATAGACCATGTAGTCTAGGATGTAATCTTTGCTTAAAAGAGGTACTATTTTGTGTTGCTTTACTGAGATGCCAAGTTTTAGGGCCACACTCTCGTCTTGCCCCTATAATTCTTCCCGTTCTTGTGAAAGCAATCTCAGAATTCCTCCTTCTTCCCCAAACATGAGAAGGCGGGGAAAAATTGTTCCGTGGAGATTCCCAGTCAGGTGCACGAAGCTGATGAGAACCATTCCCTAGGAGCGCGGGAAGGTTCCGGGCGGGCTTCTAGAAGGCTCTGGGGGAGCTTCTGGAAGGCAGCCGTCACGTCACGTGGCTCGCGCGCTGCCTGCTGGGAGCACCCTCAGCGTCTGCGCACAAGCGCACAAGCGCGCGATTGCTCCCCTCATTCCCAGGCGCTCACTGGCGAGCACCGTCACGAAGACACCGCGGAGCAGCTAGATTTTGGGGAGGTGTTGGCGGTAGGGGCGCCGCGAGAGTATCAGTGGGTTGGAAGCTAGTCGGCCAGAAGGGGAAAGAGTCCTCCTTCGAGGGCCTTTAGTTGGGCGTGGGGAGGGGGCATAAAGCGAGGGGTAGGTGGGAAATGGGGGCAGGTTAAATGGCCTGGGGGGCCAAGGCGGAATTGTGAAGGAACTAACTGACTGGAAGACAAAGGTTGCCTGAGGCCGGGCGTAGGAATAACTGACTGGAAGACAAAGGTTGCCTGAGGCCGGGCGTCGGGCTTGGTTGTGGTCAGTGGCCAGTGCCTCAGTGGCCGCCATGGGTGTGAGAAACAGGACGTGGCTGCGCTCGCGACTGACCGGGCCTGACAGGATGGGGCTGAGGCCCTCGGTGGAGCTAGAAAATTTTCACAGGCAGAGTTAGCCAATTAGAGACTTTTTTTTTTTATTTATCTGACCCACACGCACATTTGGTGACTGAGAGATTAGAAAAGCTGTGGGAAAGGGAAAGGGAAGAGAAAAAGGGAAGAGAAAGAACGTCGCAGCGTCGGTTTCTCTGAAACATTTGCCCACGCTCCTCGGCGGGTTCACTGCTGTGCACGGGAGGTGCCTTCTGTGCAGCCCTAGTGTAGGGTGCGGTGGGGATGACCCCCACGAACACGGCGGTGGTTTGTGGCGGCTGTTTTTCTGAAATTTGTGAGAGCGGCCAACGGGGTGGATCTGCGGAGTCCACCAGGTGATAGCGAAGTTGCTCTAGAAGCCAAGGAAAGTGACGGGTGCGCAGACAGGGCCCCTCGTCTCTCCAGGGTTCCAGGGTTCAGCAGTTTTCTTTAAGTTTAATTTTCAGGCTCCTGGGGGAAAATCGGCCAGGATTTACTGGGAAGTAATTTAAAGGTCAGAGTTGGCTCCGGGAAACGAAGAGGAGAAAGCGATCGGGCACTGGTGTAGCTTAGCCTTACTTGTTTTGTTGCTGCGTGGTCGTCCACCTCTCTTCTGGTTTCACCTTTCGGGAAAGTGAGCTTGAGTGAGGTGAACGGGAACATTGATTTCCAATTAAGACTGCTGAAAGGGGAAGACTTTAAGATGCAGCTGGAAATAAGACTTAAGTGCCCGAGACGAGACTGGCTGACGGTTCGGAGAGGGGTAGTTGAAGATTCCGGAGCGGTAGATGGAGATGTAGGGTTTGGGCCCTACCATGGAGCTTGATTTTATTCAGGAGCAATGAATATTCAAAGGGAGGTTTTTGACATAAGGGAATGCAGTAATTAGCGCACTGAAGGATTACCCAGCCCACGGGATGGTGGGTCAATGAGGGGGCATTCTGTAGTTTACATAAAGGACAGTTAATGGTAACCTGAATTAAGAGTGCCAGGACTAGTGGAAAGAAAGAGAAGAATTCAGAACTGTGTGTAGTTTGCATCTGACTTAAACATTGCTCTGGATTTTGCAGCTCTTGCCTCCATAATATGTCAAGTTACTTTGTAAAGTCTGATGCTAGAAATTGCAAGAGACCAAGAGAATCGGAGGTAATCGATATGCTCTTGCAGCCTGAATCTTTTATTCTATTTTATTTTGACATGCTTACTTTTGATTAATGGAGTTTAATGTTTTTATATTCCCAGAACGGGTAATGTCCCAGCAGGAATTAAATTGCCTTCTAATACTTTTTACTAAGTGAAGGCCTTCCAGAAACTGTTGGGAGATCGCTTTATGGTAATATGTGGTCTGAGACAAAAGTGGGTCTTTGTAATACATTCTTAGAATAATTATCTTGCTGTATTTGACAAATGCAGTAGGTAGGTATAAGGCTGCTGGTTTATTTTCGGAAAAGCATTGATTGTATTTTTTTTCATTACTACTTCCACCAGCTGATCTGTTTGCATTTGGGGCTTTATTTGTTCTCTAATGGATTACCTTATCTTACACAATTTTGTGGGTGTGTGGCTCTTGTTCAAAAACGAAAGTTTTGCCCTATTGCTATGGGCACATCTAGTAGTTTAAGAGACAGGAAACTTTTTCAAGATCTAATTTAAAACCAAAATAAAATTTAGTATGTTTGACTGGTGCTCGTGTGCCAAAAACTTCCCTTGATAATTACAGAATTTCTAATAACTAATCAGGACGTTAGATATCACCAGTTCATTCATCATTGTTTT